TTTCTGAAAGCCTTGAACATTTTAAGTGTTTCAGACTTATGTCTCATCATATAGACATAACCGTATCGACTGAAATCATCAGTGAACGTAACGAAATATAGATAACCTCCTCTAGCTGGACAGCTCATTGGTCCGCATACATCACTATGTATCAGATCCAATAACTCTGTCGCTCTCTGTCCTTTCCCTTTGAAAGGATGCTTTGTCATCTTGCCCATTAAACAAGACTCGCAAGATTCAAGAGATTCAAAGTCAAATGAATCCAGAAGACCTTCAGAATGAAGCTTCTGTATGCGTTTCTCGTTTATATGGCCTAGACGACAATGCCAGAGGAAGGTCGGGTTTAAGTCGTTCGGCTTAAACCATTTAGTACTCACGCTATAGATTGATGATGTCGAGTTCGAAGGCTGATCATTCAAGACGTATAAACCATTAACTAGATAACCATTACCATAGTAAATATCGTCTCGATAAATCATCAAACTCGAGTTCTCAATCACAAATCGAAAACCATCCAAATCCAGACATGAAATAGAAATAATGTTTCTGCTAATCGCAGGAACATAGTAACAATTACTAAGCTCTAAAACAAGTCCAGAAGGAAGATGCAAATCGTAAACGCCAACACACAATGCAGCAACTCTTACTCCATTTCCGACGCGTAGATCCGCTTCTCCCTTAGCTAGCATCCTACTTCTTCTTAGTCCCTGCACATTTCCACAAATGTGTGAGGCACTTCCGGTATCTAATACCCATGAAGATATAGTACAGATGTTAGCCTCTATAACGTGGATACCCGAGGCAGAAGCTTCGCCAAGCTTCTTGTCTTTCAGATCCTCCAAGTAAAGGTGACAATTACGCTTCCAGTGTCCAGACACTCCGTAGTAATGACAGTCACCCTTATCGGGCTTAGGCTTGGACGTAGAGGCAACTTTTACCTTTTTCGCCACCTTCTTTTTGGCTTTACCCCGCCGCTTCTTGCTGGAGTAGTTCTCAACAGCAAGCACAGTCTTGGACACCACAATATCATGCTCGGCCGATTTCAGCATCCCATGCAGTTCAGCTAAGCTCTTAGTCATCCCGTGCATATGGTACTGCATCACGAACTGGTTATAGTCCTCGGGTAATGACATCAGGATCAAGTCTGCAACCAAGTCACCATCGAGGTTCACTCCCATACGCTCAAATTCTTCAACATGAGCTCTCATGTTGAGGACATGGGTGTTGACAGAACTGCCTCTCGACATATCCGTCTTCACTAGAGCTTTTAGCGTCTTGTACTTTTCAGTACGCGCTAGCTCCTGAAACATGGTTTTGAGCTGTTCGATCATATCAAACACGCCCTTCCCCTCAAACTGCCTCTGCAGATTCGGGGCCATGCTTCCCAACATGAGACATGAGATCTCGATGTCGTCAGTCTGATACTTCAACCAAGCATCCTTGACGGCTCTCGTGTCATTTGCTGCAGGCTCTGGTGGTAGAGCCCCTTCCAGGACGTAAGACTTCTTATCGTGTTTGAGAACAATTCTCAAGTTCTGATACCAGTCTAAGAAGTTTGTCCCGATAAGCTTATCCTTCTCAAGGATTGATCGCATCGTCAAACTCGATACGCTACCGGTTGACGCCATGTCCTACAAAAAAAGACAAACAAAACATACAAAACAAATGCAGATTCTATTAATGATCAACTACCAGCTAGCCCATCATCAATCAGTGTCTACATATATATGATCTACTACCAGCTAGTCCATCATCAAACAATGACAACATAGATGCAAAAACGAGCTATATTCTCATACAGAAAAATAACCCTATAATAATTCTCTATATGGGACTAAGATCCGTATTTCACATAAGAATGAGTTGTTACACTCAGCCTTACGCTATTTAGGTAGACATCTAATGTCAATCACATCCAATATGACTCTTAGATCTTTTATGAGACTATGATATCGAATATCATTGCATGCTCGTCTCATCTGTACCGTTAAATCTCAAGTTTTGATAACTTAACCTAAGGTAAACCATATTCAAGCTGTGGGAACCACGATTTCCCACCCTGCCTCACAAAGATAATCCGGCACACCCAGCTTTGGCATGACCCGTGTTACGGACGATCGATGCCTTGACAGGCACTCTAGTAATGGGAGGTACACACTTAGCATTACATAAATAAGGGATTTTCGAAACCACACTTAAATCAAGCATCTACTTTCAAGCTATGAGAACCACCATTTCTCCATCTTGCCTCACCAAGATAATACGGCACACCCAGCTTTGGCATGGCCCATGACACTTACGATCGAGGCCTTGACAAGTGCTTTACTCGTAAAGCTTCTAGATCTAATTGGTTTCTGTGCAACGATTGTTCATAATCCGAATGGACAATCCAATCGATTATGCAATCCCAATTCCGAAGCTCCCACTCAATCAAATATATATAATATCTTGATTAAGTTACATGCATTCATTCACTATGGATCATCCATAACAGAGAATCATGTTATTCTGAATCACAGATGATCGGTTTTAAGCAACGATTGCTCAAACCAGATCCCGAAACGAAAAATTACGTTTTGGTGAAGCGTCGGGTCCTGGACGGATCGGTCTAGGCCTAGACCGATCGGTCCAGGCGGTTCGGTCTTCAGGTCTGCGTCGGTCCAGACCTTTCGGTCCTGAATGGTCCAGACCGATCGGTCTTGGTCCAGACCGATCGGTCTACACATGCAGACCATTCAGTCCGGACCTGTCGGTCCAACCGACTTGCGAAACCCTAGACCGATCGGTC